CCTTTCCAACCAAATGATCCTGGGATCCTGTAACTGCTAAACCAGGGCTGACCCAAACAGCTGGAGTTACACCGGGACCCATAAGTAGGACTCAAGACCCTGACTGAAATGATATACAAGTGATGATTTATTAGTTAACATTGGTTAGTACAGAAAAAAAGATGGTGTAGAAAGCAGGTGGAGGAGGCACGTGCTCATAGAGACTTAGAAGCAACTGTAGATCAACATTCTCCTTCAGCAGACCCAAGGTGGGACCCTAATTTACCTGGGCTGGAGAGCACTTAGCAAGGTACCACTGATGGGCATTATTTGGTGTGAAGCATGCAGGACAGAAAGCCATGAACTGGTCAAAACTGTGTGAGGTAAAACAGGACAGGACTGTGACTTTCATCAAATGATGGAAGGTGACTGCCAGAAAATACACTAATCTGGATCCTGAGAATCTAGAGGAGGCTGTGCAGTTAGAAACTAGCTTTATAGTTTCTGTAAAGATAGAAATAGTTTCTAAATATAGAAATATACCTTCTTTATAGCACATCCGGCTCTAGATACTAGAAACAAACTCCAGAAAATCGAAGGACCAGAGTGGTGTGACTCAAGAAAGTTGTCAGATGAAGCTTGGAAAGCATATTAAAACAGAGATAGGTCGAGAAAAGGAAATGTGACAGGCTGGAAAGGAAAGGTACAGCCACAAAAACCTACTTGGAACTCTAGAGGGTGCTAAGGGACCGCCCAACAGGGCAGGAGAAAGAGGAAGGCGAGGCTGAAGAAGGGGAAGGGGAGGCAGGAGGCTCCCCTCGCCTCCCGGCAGAGGATTAGAGGAAAACCGGAGCGCACTGGTAAGGAAAAGGGAAAAGGGGCCTTGGAAGCGGGAATGGCCGCAGGCTGGGGAGCTGGACCCTGCCTTACAGGCTGTTAACAGAGAGGATGAAGATTGAAGGGAAACTGGGGTTTCTACCCCAGCTGAACCCCTGAGGCTGGGGAAAAAAGAAGTGGAATTTTTGATAAGCACAGGGGCAACTTATTCTGTTTTGAACATAGGCAAAGGAAAACTTAGTAAGGATGTGGTAAATGTAAATTGGTAAATTGTAAATTGCAAATTGCTAATAGTTAAATGTAAATTGGTACATGTGGTAAATGTAAATATAACTGTTGCTACAGAGAAAAGTGAAACTTGGTCATTTTTACAGCCCATGAAATTTAAATTAGGAAAGAACTGCACTACTCATCAGTTTCTATACATGCTTTAATGCCCAGTCCCCTTGATGGGGAGAGAGTTCTGGGGGAAATTGGATGCTCAGATAACCTGAGGGGACCTGGGGGTCCTGATGCAGAAGCTGGGAACCTGGAGGAGACCTGTGGGCTATTTCTCCCAACAGCTGGACAACGTGAGCAGAGGGTGGCCAGGATGCTTGCAAGAGATTGCTGCAACTGTTCTCCTGATCCAAGGGGCCAGGAAGCTCAGGGCTGGACAGCACGTCACTGCTTTTGTCCCTCACATGGTGATATCCATATTGGAGCAAAAGGAGGGGCATTGGCTATCCCAGCAGGATGCTCAGATACCAAGTTGTGCTCATGGAACAGGATGATGTGGAGTTAAAGATGACAGCAGCCATGAATCCAGCAGTTTTCCTTGATCCAAAGGCAGGAGGTGAGGGAGCCCTGACACAGGATTGTCTCCAAACCATGGAACAGGTATATTCCAGCAGAACCCGCTTGCAGAATGAACCAGTAGGGAGTCCTGATTTAGAATTATTTACAGATGGCAGGAGTTTCATAAAAGATGGGAAATGGATGGCAAGATCGGCAGTGGTGACTGCCACTGAGCTATTAGAAGCTCAGTCTTTACCAATTAATACATCAGACCAACAATCAGGGATAATAGCACTAAAACAAGCATTGAACTTGGCAGTGGGCAAAAGAGTGAATATCTGGATTGATTCTAGATATGCATTTGTTGTGATTCATGCCCATGGAGCCATAAGCAAAGGAAGAGGAGTGCTATTGGCTCAAGGATCATCTATTCAACACAGAGAAGAAATTTTACAACTTCTAAAAGAAGTTAAAAACCAAAGGAGGTGGCAGTGATGCATTGTAAAGCACTTCAATCAGGACAAACTAATGTTAGAGTGGGAAACCAACTGGCAGACACAGCAGCTTGAGGAGCGGCTGAAAAAGGCATCCCAACCTTCTTTTTGTGTTAGTGCCACAAAAATAAATTGACTTAATTGAAGGCTAATTCTGACAATGAAGATCAATATTTAGAAAATATACAAAAGCCACTAAGTTCCAAGAGGGATGGTGGGTAACAAACAGCCAGCAGGTTATAGTTCCACTTCCTGTAAGGAGGAAAGTAATGGAAAAAGAACACAAAAAATCCCTCAGGGAAACTGAGTCCCTGACATCTAGTCTCCAAAACTCTGTATTTAATTTGGGAATGACTGAAATAGAAAAATCTGTTACAGTGCAATGTCCAATTTGTTTAAAAAACAATCCCATAAGCAAGAAAAGGCCACCTCCTGGAACACCTAAAGACAAGCTTCACGAGGCTTAAGGGGAGAATGTTACCAGATGAAGAATTGTTTGCACCTGGTGGGCCAAGACAATGATGATTCCTGAAAAACCACTGGCCTATGGAACTGCACCATGCCCATTCTGTAGGAAGAAGAACTGGAGAGGAGCCAGCCCAGTTGTGCCAACTTTTATCAGTTCACCAGGCAGTCAGGTTTGACTTTGGGATCACCAGCCACCAGGGACCACCAAAAAGACCCCCAGGACAGAAAAACACATCTGCAGAGAGGAGGGAAAATGTGTTAATGATTTTGGGGAAATGATTATCAAATGTATGTTTATTCCAGGAAAATCAATGAATATGTGTGCAAAATAAAGCCTCTAAATAGGAGCTATTTCTGTACTCAGCATGCACAATATTCAGAGGATATCCCCACATGCATCCAGCCAAATAAATAATCCCTGCTTCTTAATGCTACAGTGGTGTTAAAGAGTTTGTATTTTTACCTATTTTTCGTAACACTGGAAGTAGAGTGTTAATAGCAATGCCATAGTAATCAATAAGTTTCAGTAAGAATTAATTACAATATCCTTTTGGAGGGGTCACTGTTTCATGTCACATGCAGCTTTTTCTTTAGGGAATTTTTTGTCACTTTTCCAGCTGTTTCTGCATTTGGATCATCCCAGAATTTGAGATTATCATATGACTGAATTTCAGCTAAAATCATGATCTGTTGAATTATCACACTGATAATAAAAAGCCCTGGGAACATTGGTGGTTTGTACTTCTTTTCCACATTGAATTCCACCAGTTTCAAAAGCCATGCATACAAGAAAAGCTATTTTACAGTTCTGCTGGGACTTTCCTTCTAATACTTCGATAGTACACAAAGAATTTAGGAGAAGGACACCAAAAGACTTGGTCAATTCCTATATAAATACAATGTCAGCAGGTCATGTTTCTTTCTTTCTTTCTTTGTTGTACATTAGAAACCTCCTTCCAGTGGGGTGGATGGATGGATGGATGGATGGATGGATGGATGGATGGATGGATGGATGGATAAACTACTGCTAAGGCATGTTTATACTGCACTACTGCTTTTATAATTAGAGAATGGCAAATGGGTTTTAGCCTGCCCTGGGAGAAAACACTGAGTTCATGAATCCATTGGTTCTGCTCTGCAACTCTAAACTGCACCACCAGGGCTAATGATTCACCAGTTTAATGTGAAAGGGCTGTGATTGCAACAAGGGGCAACATGTCTCACTAGCTGCTGTCCTGCCTTCAACAAACATTTATGCACCAGTCCTAGATGGTTCCCAAACACAAATAGTTACACATTACTGCAGAGTATTTTTTCTGTCCCAGCTATTCAAAAGAGAAAGATTAGGAGAACCCAATTACATGACTGTAATAACACTGTGCATAGCCACGAGCACTAACAGAAATTTTAAGCAATTCTGCAGGACAGAGAAAATTAATGGGTCATTGAATGAAGCCTGTGAATATAACCAGCTGTAGGATTACTGGTATCCAGGACAGGAGAATCAACGTGTAATCCCTCTGCTGCAAGGGACTGAGGGGGATTTATCTGGCCTTGCAGGAAGTTTGGGAGTGGGACCTGGAGTGAACAGGGACCTGTGAGTGAACAGACTCTCAGCTGCAGGAATGCAGGACATGAACAGGACATGAACAGGTAAGAGGGATGATGGCAGAGCCTTAAAATGGGAAGTACAAGAGTTGCTGCATATGAATATATATATATACATATATATATATATGCATATGCATACATATATGTTGCATATATATACACATATATATGTTTATATACATGTAACTGCATGCATATATATATATATGGATATAGTTATTATATGGCAAATTCTTTCACTTCCAAGTCAGTAGATTGGATGGTCAGAGGTAGGACAATGTGAGTGCAGGAGCAGGAAAGGTACTGGAGGATGGAGAGGAATCTGAACTCCAATTAAACAGGTCAGTAACATGACCTTCAACCCACTCCCCTCAGGGTAGGGGCGGGGAGAGAAATAATTGGGAATGAACAAACTCAGAGACCCTTTCTGCTCATAGAAGGGAAGGGTCAGGCCCACAGAGATCTCATGATGCCCTTCACTGAACTAGTTAAACATCTAAAGTAAGAACCTGTAGCCACTGCTCCTCTCCTGATCTGACTGGAAGGGTTTAGAAATCCCTTCAAAAGAGGAAGAGAACCGGGCCAATAGAATAACAAAAAAAGACAGGCAAAAAAAATCAGGAATTGCCAGTGATAAAAAGGAAAAGAGGGAAAGCAAAAACTGAAGGGCAGAAAGAAGCAGAGTAGGATTCAATACACAGCACAGAAGCTGCTCCTTCTCCTGGCCACTGGACTGGTGAGGATGAACTGAAAGTAGAAAGGACAAGAAGACTCCAAGCAGCTTGAAACACCAAGAGGCCACAGAAGCACCTTCCAGGGATGCATAACTCAGACATGATCTGCTTTGTTGTAGGGAGTTTCTCATGGGTAAGTTCATCTTTGACTTTCCTCTTCATGGGGTCTCTGCTTAGCTATGGAGTTTCCTTGGAAAGATGGAGGGCCATTAGGAATAATAATTTCCCAGGTATTAGAAAGAGCTGGACATTTAAAAGGCACACACAGAGAAGATAATATTTGCTCCTATTGCAGGGATGGTAACTTAGACATCAGGGTACCCAAGGAAAAGGAATGAAAAGGGTAGGAGTGCTGGAGGCACAGAGCAGTTTTCAAGCCAGGGTGGGTATAATAGGAAGAAGGTTCTTAATATTTGAGCGTGGAGAAGGATTTACAGCTGGAGAATGACATGGCTTGTAGTGGAGGAAGGGAAGGTTGTGGTGATCATGAAGTTCAGAACAGTACTAAGTAAGATTTTAAGGACCACAGGAAGTTAATATATGAAACAAGAGTATTCATAAGAGTAACTTCAAATCTACAGCAAAATGTACAATAGAAACAATGGAAGGTAGATAACAGTGCGTCCTTACCATAGGAGATCCATAATACGAGAGATCCATAGGAGATCTATCATAATATGAAAGATATACAAGATGCATTTGACAAAGATTTCATTCACTCTAGCTGTGTCTTTGCTGCTTTTCTCCTTCTAGCTCCCCCACGTGAGAGGTGAGGAAGGCTGCCTTAACACTGAACTGTTAAGTATTTGTCAATCTTGCTCTTCTTTAGAGAAAAGGCAATACTGGACATGGGCGTTATGACCTGATGGTTGACATTTTCCAGAAAATCTTATTTAGTTGTATTAAAAATTCATGTAAAATCACTATTACTGTCACTATGAACTGTACAAATTACTATTTTTATTGATCAACATGCTGATTGTGTGGTACTGCTCCTGCTGCCTATTTGCATTACTGCAATAGTTAAGAGCCTTCTGGTGTAATTTCAATTGACCGGGATTATGAATTTAGAATCAAACTTTCCTTGAAAAAATGGTTTAAAATATACCACTTTGGTGAATATTATTATCAATTATATAATTTTTAAGAATAACGGAAATGATATATTGACAAAAAAAAAAAAACAAACATGAATGCAGATCTCTAAGGTTTGCAAAGGGAATTGGGCAAGGACAAATATCAATAAAACAATCAAGATATAAAGCCAAGAGAAGGGAAATTCACCCAGCAGGGATATTGATGAGGTTGGACAGCTGTGTCCCTCACAAAGCACAGTGAGTGTTTCATCATTGTGGCATCTGGAATCTGGACAGTGAGTGAGGATCATGAGGGGAGAAGGAGCAGGGTACCATAGGGATCTTTGCCTTTATTTGGTGTTCTGTAGATAACTATTTTTGTACCCTCTTCTCTTCAGCTGTTCAGGTACAGAATGGAACCATCTGTGGTATATCTGGTAAGACAACATGTTTACTCTAAATATCTGCATCTTTAGACAATTCAAGTAGCATAGGATGGGAATAAATGTGACCTGCTCAAGAGTGATGCCACCCTCTCCTTTTTCCTGGGATTCTCTAAATCTCCACAAGAGTAAGGCAACCCCTCAGATATCTCACTGCCTTTAACAAAAGCTGACCCACCCGCCTCCTTTTTTATTCCACATATTTAGTCATATGAACACTATTAATAAATTATTCATGGCACCATATGCCAAAATTCAAAAAACTGATTTTTAAAGTAAGTTCCGTCTGATTTCTTAGTTATTCCCACCAGGATGAGATTAAGAAGGATGGTAGTTGTTGAACATCTGGAGGGCTGAAGAAGATTGCAAGGTCCAATTTTTCCTCTCTGCTTGTCACTCATGACGAGATGTCTGGCATTCTTAGTTTTGGACCCCTAGCACAAAATAGATGTTGGCAAACTGAAGCCAGTGCCCTGGAAAGCCAATAAAAAGAACCAGTCTTCTTCAGCCTGGAGGAAGCTAAGGGGATAAAGTAATTGCAGTTTTCCACTACCCAGGGGGGAGCTTAAGAGAAAATAAAGACAGAGACTTCTCAGAGGTGCTCAGTAGAAGCACATAAGGCAGCTGACCAAACTGAAGACAGAAAAATTCTAATTAGACAGGAGTAAAAAATGCTTCCCCTGATGATGGTGCAGCACTTGAACAGGTGCCTGGAGGGAATGATGGATCTGCATCCCTGGATACTGTCCAAACTCAGCTGGACAAAGCCCCAGGTGACTGTTCAGCTTTGAGGTTAGCCATGCTGTAAGCAATCAGAGACATTAGGAGGTGTCCTGTAAACAAAACCTTCCTGTCCTCATTGCGTGTGCCCTCCCGTTGCAGGCTGGTGCTGGTGCTCGGGGGGCTCCTGCTGCTGTGTGGCCTGGTCTCTGTGTGCGTCAGGTGCTGCTTCCAGTGCCAGCAGGCAGGGGACGAGGCGGGCCCCCGGCCCTACGAGGTCACCGTCATCGCCTTCGACCATGACAGCACCCTGCAGAGCACCATCACCTGTGAGTTGGCCTTGCCCCATGCTGGGCACTTCAGCAGCCTGTAAGGCCCAGCTGGTGACGCCCCGGGGCTGGCACAGGGAGGGAAGTTCATGGCAGGATGGAGGGAAAGCGACCTCTGTGCGTGCTGCAAGCCGAGGTGTCAGTTGTGAGACGTGTTTGGGTGGAATAGGAGTTCAGTGGCATTTCAGGAGAGAGGAAGTGAGGGATGCTGCTGGTGGGATTTCACACACATACTCTTTTAGGGAAAGCTGAAGGAGTGGGAAAAGGAAAACATTCTGGCTGTGGGAAGAGAAGATCCTATGCCCTGTGGGTATCCCTGCCCTCCTCTAACCACACGATGCCTTCAGGGTGAGGCAAACAGCTTTGCTCTCCTCTCTTGCAGCTCTCCACTCGGTGTTCGGGCCTGCTGCCAGGAGGATTTTAGCCGTGGCACACTCGCACAGCACTGCCCAGGGCACCCCACCCCTCTGTGCCCCTGACACCCCTCCCGTGTACGAGGAAGCGCTGCACATGAGCAGGTTCACCGTGGCCAAGGCGAGCCACAAGGTGCCAGACCTGGAGCCAGTGCCGGAGGAAAAGCCGCAAGCGCCCGCCGAGGGCAAGGATGCCCAGCCAGCCCTCCCAGGACACTGATGGATGTCTGCTTTCACCTGATAGCAAAAAACACAGGATAGCTGCATGCAGAGACTAATTCAGGTGGGCAGGGCTTTCAGAATTTCAGATTAATTTCCTTAGTCAATTGAGAAGGGGGGGGAGAAGCAACTAAAATTCAAAATATTTTCAGATCTAGCATAGTCTAATGGCTCTCTTTGACACCTCCTTCAGATAATTTGCAATCTCCAAGCCCATTCATTACATGCACACAACACTAGAATCACACTGCACGAATAAGCAGGCAGCAGGATCAAGGTGCTGAGCCATTTTGTAGGCTAGTGATCTGCAGGGTGCCTGCAGATGCAGTCTCATTCCTCTTGCCTTTAGCCTAAGTTTCCTCAGGATGGCAAGAGATCTTCAAAACAGAAAAAAAAAAAAAAAAAAACAGAAAAAAAGGAAAAAAAGACACTTGCAAAGGTCTATTGCAACCCAATATTAACATCAAAGTTCTGGAAATTGCCAATCATTTATAGTAAATATAAAAAATAATAAAAAAAGGAAACAATCTGCTTGTAAATGAAAGACAGCATAGATATAGACAGTATGATGATGTACACAGTGTGCCCTTAATGCCCTACAGGGTACACAGAATGAACAGAGTCTGGTTCTAAATGGGATGTATAGCAATTCTGAAATGGTAGTCACAAGCTCTTATATTTGAATTTAAAAATCTTATATATGTACCCACAGATCAAACAAGGGGAGGAGCAAGAACACTACCTCTGAAATAAAGCTCAATCATATTTGCAATACATTCATATAGTATCATTTATTAATTCCTAATGTTGCTGTCAAAACCAGATCAATTGAAGTAAGACCATTTAAAACATGCAAAACATTTCTCAGACTGAATAATTTGTGAGTCTCTCCTGGTCAATACAAATATGATGAACCATCCAGAAATATTAATGAAAGTGGATGAACACAGGTATGGACTAGGCTGTCAGGAGAAGGTGAGTTTTGAACCACATCAGTATTGTCTCTACCCTGGATTCAGCACCTGAAAACATTAAAGCAGCACAACATTAAATATCACATGATGATTCATTCAGCTATGAATAAATTGCATGTATATGTTTATGTTGATATGAAGTTACAGGTCACATCTTTTTGAAATGCCTGCATGGCCCTTCCCGCTGATGTACCCAAATTCCCACTTTAGTTAATATGCTGGTCTCTTTTCCTGTGAAATACAGAAAATACAGTTGTTTTGTAGATAAGAAGAACAAGGACAATGTTGGACAAGGTCCAACTACTAGAACTAGGTCCCAAACATGTTTAGGAACTGAAATGCTGTTGAGATTACAACCACAAAAAATTTTAGAGAAGGTTGATAAATTAGCTTCAGGGATAGAATAAAGCTAAATTAAACAACCAAAACATCTTTGATGATGCCCCAGACCTTGACCAGTCACCAGAATTTTGTATTTAAAGGAATTTAATGAGGGTCTTGATTTTGAGGTCACAAACTTCTTCCTAAGTTGTCTAGTTATTATTAACTGTATCATTAGCAAGTGATAAACTGGAATGGAATAAGTAAAGTGACATACAAGTTTATGTCCCTTCTGCTATTACACCTTTCTTCAGTCTTAGAATTGTAGAATGGTTTGGATTGGAGGGGACCCTAAAAATCATCGGGTTCCAACCCCCCTGCCATGGGCAGGGACACCTTTGGCTAGACCAGGCTGCTCAGAGCCCTGTCCAGCCTGGCCTTGAAATAATAATAATTATAACTGCTTGTGGAACTCCTGTTGGAGTGACCTCGTTTATCAGCTGCTCTCTGAAGTGCTGTGCAGGCCTGGCTGCACCAAGCTGCAGAACATTTCCTGGAAGGCTCTTGTTTACTCCACAGTAAAAGCCTGAAGCAAGCCGAGACATTTGAGTCTGCTGAACATATGTCAAGTACTGTCAAGCCCAGAAACTCCCTGGAAATCTTCACAGTGCTTTCCAGGGGGAACATCCAGCTCATCCTGCCTGCAAACCCGGAGCTGTCCTGGCATTTAACACGTGATGATGACTCTGCTCTACAGGGCAGCAATTCTGCCTAGAAAGCCCAGTAGTCCCAGAAGTCCCAGTGCAGGAGCAGACATTAAAGCATCTTTCAATTCCTGAAAGTCCTTCCTGCAGTCAGGCTCAGCTCTCTCTTAGAAAGGGGCTCAGGACTGGACAGACAGCCTCTTTTCCTTCCTGGACTGAACTCCTTTGTCCTTATGAAACAGTAAATATCCTAAAGCACAAGTCCAGGTCTGAGGTGAAGCCTTTCCACATGATGCTCCCTGAGCAGCCCCAGTGCTGAGCTGCACCAGTGCCTCAGCTGCAGGACAAACTCACCCGGCTCATTGTGCCACAGGAGCCTGCAGCCACACACTTGACACTGGGGACACAGCCTGGACTGCAGCCAGAGCAGCACCTTTGAGCGGCTTCCCATCCCGTCTCTTCTAATGCTCACACCATCAGATCTCTAGGCACGTGCATACATTCCTTCCACTAATCAGGATTATTCCATAACTCAATTTTTTTTAAAAAAAACCTAAAAAAAAAAAAAAAAGAAAAGAAAACAACACACCAAAAAAAAAAACCCCAAAAAACCCCAAACCAGCATACGGCAGGTGGTCCATTGCCTTCCTTTTACAAAACAGCATTCTTTGCAAAATGGTATTTGTAATTTGCAGTCCCATTAACTGGTCACTTCTCAAAACCATTAAGTTTATGTATTGGCCACCAATGATTACAATATTCAACAAGTTGTTTTTGTGTCAGGGGTTCATCCCTCCCAAACCTCCAACCTTTTCCAGTTCCTTAGGACACAGCCCAAAGGGAAACCCTTTGGGATCCCTTCTTGTGGGAGCTGTGAAGATAGCCCCACTCCTGTACTTAGCATCTTAGCAAAAAAACTTTTAACACCTTTAAAACCTTTTACAAGTTTTCTATAACTTCTTACAATCTTTCACAACTTTTTAGAACATTTCCCAAAAACCTCTGAGCCTCACACTGCAAACTTTCTATTAGTGCAACTTATGGGCAGGAAAAATACCTTCAAATAAATTACCTTAAAGTAATGTTGTATTCTTTTTCCCAGAAAGGGCAGAGTGATCTACTCACCAGACCAGGAAACAGGAAGATCTCCCTGAAAATATTTTGGTGTGCACTGGAGTGCTGATGATTCCTCTTGTTCACTGAGTTGGCACCTCTTTGTCCCATCTGGGGTACCAGAAACTGGCACCAAAAGCTGGGAAATGAACTCTTTAACCAGTTTGTTAGGGTAGAAACATAACTTTATTCAGTGTTAGAGTACATGGGGATGTCTCCACAGAACATGCCAGTTATCAGACCTTTAATGATTTATACATTTGAGCAAACAAAGAAATCAGTGTTCATTGGCTTACAAGCTACAGAGTTATCTTCATTAAATAATATTCTATCACCTATTGTTATTTATTTATTGCTTCTAATGCAAATTAATCCACATTTTTAGTCTTTTTATTATTTATTTCTTTTTCTCAGATAAAGAGAATGTCAATAATTGTCTTTGTTAGTTTCTCCTTCATCTCCAGTTTCTGTATGTGTCTTTGATTATAAATTCTGCGTTCCTTGTGTCCAGGTCTCAACAACAAATTTCTCTCTCTGGTTGAAGAGCACTGAAGCACATCAGTCCCTAAATTTGTAATTTGTTTTTCTAACACATGGGCATCACCCATAGCTTGCCTGTTGTCTGTTACCCAATTCATGGATTAAATCTCCTTAAAGCAATTCCCTCCCCATACTGCTGCACAGGCTCCTTTTAAATGAAATATGAACTTGTTTGGTAACAGTGCCACCCTTAGGTTCCCCTAAAACACGGAGTACTTGAGAAAACCGGTTTTCAGAAACATCCCCCTGGCCCCACTGTTGCTGTCGCTCCCTTGTTTTCACAGGAACAATGATGCCCCTCCCCAAGAGGCCACTCCCAGTCACTGGCTGGAACAAATGGATCCCAAACTCTGCTTTGCGAGTCTGGGCTGTTGGCCTTTGCTGCTGCTTTTGATTATGCACCAACTGTGATTGTGTCCCTTAATCTCCTCAGAACATCATTGGTATGCCTTTAAGCAACTTTAGCTGAAGCTGGGCCATACAAGAAGCGTGGTAAGAAAGAGCAGCTTTTTTTATTTAAAAAAAACTAAGAAATTGTAGAAAATAGAGCAGCAAGACAGCAGCCCAGCATGCACAATACAGAGTGCTTTCCTAGAGGAAAGGAAAACATTTGCACAATTAGGCATTGTTTACTGCGAGTGACTAACCCTGTGCCCTCATCCAAGACCAATGTGCCCATACTGGCTCTGACGGTGCTACAGATCCAGTGCCAAGAGAAACTGGTGACCAGTCACGAGGGAGACAGCAGAGACACCAGGCAGGGACTGTGCCACGGGTGGCAGCAAGCAGCTCAGAAGCATGAGTGCCCTCAGGTATGCCATCTGTGGTTTAATCACCATTCAGACCACAAAGCACAAATTTTCTGACCAAAGAGACTTTGATATGCAGAGTCCACACTTAAAGTTAAAAAAAAAAAATTAAAAACAAATCAGTCTGTAGAGGTATAAATTACCCAGGGGGAGGTAATAATGAAATAAATATGCAAGAGAGTCCAGAGTTATGAGCAGGAGGACTGTATGGCACAGGCTGCAAACCCTGCCCCCAGGCTCTGTGCAAATATTTTTGTCTCCTGCTTCTATGGCTGCAGCGTTGGAAACGCTTGGGAAATCCCTTGTAGAATGTACCCACATGACCTGCAGACACAGCAGCACAGTACGTGCTCAGAGCTGTGCTGATACTCTAGGTTAAGAAAAAATATATTGTTTTGACAATATATTGAAGGAGCACTTTGTGCTGGCAGTCCAGGGGAGGAAAATTAGCCAACACCATTTCCAGTTCCTCCCTCTGGCAAACGAATGCAGAACGTGGGGTTTGTCACATGCCCATGGGCTGACATTTTAACAACCCTA